CGAGCATGGAAGTGTCACCTGAGGCAAGCGTGGATGCGTCACCTGAGGCAAGCGTGGAAGTGTCCCCTGAGGCTAGTGTGGAAGCCCTACCCAAGGCTAGCATGGAAGCGCTCTCCAAGGCGAGTGTGGAAGCGCCCCCAGAGGTGAGCGTGGAAACATCTTCCAAAGTGAAAGTGAGAGACTCTCCACAGGTTTGTCAAGTGCCTTTTATTGACCAATTTTCTGTTAAGATCTGTATATTTAGTTGTGTAGATTATGATAGGTCAGGTTTCACAACATAAGCAACTTATTTTTATTTATAGCATTCTGCAAGAAAATTAATAAAATAGGATAATTCACTTTAATTATTTAAAATTCTATGATATTTATTGTACCAGAGTTTCCCCCCAAAGCTGAAATATTAGTTAACTTTTAGTAGGAGGGAGAAAATGTAACAGTTTATATGAACTATATTTCTAAACTGAAGAAATAGTTTTTGAGAAATACTGCAGACCCTTGGGATTTAGAAATAGAATTAGGTTTTGAAGTAAAAGACTTCTTTTAAATTAATTATTTCCCATGACCTTCTTGAACTGTATAATATGAGTTGTTAGTCTGGGAGAATGTATCTCTGTACCTAATTCTCATGCATGAAAGGAAAATTGGGAGTTTAAGGAACTATAATTGTATTTTCTTCAGAATATTTTTCTCTTAAAAAGGAAAGCCAGCTGCAGTAAGGTAAATGCTAGTAATTTCTTATCTGATGGTGTTGATCTGTTCAGAAATCACAAGTGGACAAACAAGCCTCAAACTCTGTTACCAAGAAGCGCCCATCATCGCACGTACTGTGTTACAGAAGGTCATCTCCTGCAAGTGGGTTGCATCCGCTCTCCCCTGTCAGTGCTAAGTAAGTAGCTTATTTGCAACTGTTCCTGATAGGTATTTTACCAGGATAAATTTCACATCAGTGTTTCATAAACGAAATAATGTAGTATGCATGGTAACATAAATATAAAGAAAAAAACCTTTAAAAATGTATTTACCTTTGCTATCATAAAATACCATTATCTTCTAATATCAAGACATATTTTATGAAATGGTACACTAAAAATTAATTAGCACATATTTATTACAAAACCATATTGATTTCCTCCATTAACTATTAATTTTTCCCAACAGGCAAGTTCAAAAGAATCGCCCCCCATCACCTTCACTCATGTCAAAGCAATCAGGACAATCTTCTCCTTCCTCTAAAATAATTCCTGTTCAGCGTAACCTAATTGCACAAAATGCATTAAATACTACGGGAAGGAAAAGAGAAGCAATTTCTAAAACCACTAACAGCTCTGAGGCTATAAGCCAAAAGCATATGACCTATGAAGGTAAGTTCCTTCTCTAAGAAGTTTATTTTGGCAACACAGAAAATCTTAAGGTAGCTTGGGATGGTCAACTTCATTTTATTCCCCAATTCAGAGAACTTTAGGGGGTGAGCTTTCTTTTAGATAAAGAGAACCTAATCAATCACCGGCACATTGCTTACTTGTCCTTGCCAGAGCTTCTTACTCACCCCCACCCCCTCATTGGTTTGGAAAATCCCTTTTTGGAACTGATGTTAAAAGTACCGGTTGGATGAACACGTTGGTCTAGGTGATCCCTACGGTTCCTTCCAGCTCTGATAGTGGATGGTTCTGTGAATGGCCCTAAGGTACTTGCCATCCTTGGAGAGAGCATATCTAGTCATTTGTGGCTGAGCAGGTTTCTATCAGGAGCTGTAAGTCAGTTTCTATACATAGGCCATAATGTGTGTCTGGGCAGTATATGGGTTCCTGAAAGTAGCATAGTGGTATTTTGCCTATCACATGCATTCTTTTTAAATGTGTTTTTAATAGTTTCTTTCTTTTTTTTTTTTTTTTGTGAGGAATATCAGCCCTGAGCTAACATCCATGCGTATCTTCCTCTTTTTTTGCTGAGGAAGACTGGCCCTGGGCTAACATCCGTGCCCATCTTCCTCCACTTTATATGGGACGCCACCACAGCATGGCCTGGCAAGTGGTGTATCCGTGCACGCGCGGGATCTGAACCCAGGCCGCCAGCAGCGGAGCGTGCGCTCTTAACCACTACGCCACGGGGCCAGCCCCCACATGCCTTCTTAATAACCATGGGCATTACTTAATTTTAAGTATGCTTAATTTTAAATAGGAAAGAGCCGGCCCTGTGGCTTAGCGGTTAAGTGCGTGTGCTCCGCTACTGGCGGTGCGGGTTCGGATCCTGGGCACGCACCAAGGCACCACTTCTCCGGCCATGCTGAGGCTGCGTCCCACATACAGCAACAAGAAAGATGTGCAACTATGACATACAACTATCTACTGGGGCTTTGGGGAAAAAAAGGAGGAGGATTGGCAATAGATGTTCGCTCAGAGCCGGTCTTCCTCAGCAAAAAGGAGAATTAGCATGGGTGTTAGCTCAGGGCTGATCTTCCTCACAAAAATAAAATAAAATAAAATAAAATAAAAATATGGTAGGAAATTTTGCTGTTTGAAGGAATTCCACAATGAATTCTTTGTAACAGAAACAATCTTTTTATTATAAATTATTCATTCCTGATGTCTTAAAATCTTCATTTTCTTATGTGGTTTATTTAAAATAAAGAAATTAGTCACATGGACTAAAATATAATATGCTTCCATGTGGTCACCTTATTTTACTGATAGTCTTGGTTTCTTTGGTTATCTACAGTTAGCCTCTTAATGATCAACCAAATATAGTAATGTACTATTATCAACGGTTAGCTAAACAGTAATTATTTAGTAAAAATGATGCACAAATTTCAAAATGTATGTTGGATATATTTTTGTTTAGTCGAGTATGTAAGATTTTTATACTTCATTTGGGCCAAGCATAAGCTCATCTTCCTCTATATTCAATATATCTTTTTTTTTTTTTTTTTAAAGATTTTATTTATTTATTATTTTTCCCCCCAAAGCCCCAGTAGATAGTTGTATGTCATAGCTGCACATCCTTCTAGTTGCTGTATGTGGGACGCGGCCTCAGCATGGCCGGAGAAGCAGTGCGTCGGTGCGCGCCCAGGATCCGAACCCGGGCCGCCAGCAGCGGAGCGCGCGCACTTAACCGCTAAGCCACGGGGCCGGCCCTATTCAATATATCTTAATCATTTTTCCCATCAGGTCAATTTAGTCAGGTTTCTTAGAACAGCTAAACCAAAGTAGAAGTACATTATTTCATTTTGGAACAAGTAGTTGTTAAAAAGAAATAAAATGCTACTTCTGTTGTTGGAGAGAGAGTTGGGGTTTTGAACAAAATCTGTTATATAATCATTTATAGATTGCTTGTTATTTATAAATTTCAGGCCATGTACATATTGTTGGGTTTTTTAATACTGTTGGTTGTCTTGCACCTCTGTGTTGGGCTTAGAGGCAGTAAGTTCCCTAAACTGTTTTACATGTTAATTTGAACTAGAGTCTGGTAATAAAAGCACACCAGGGACTATGAATGCTGAGGAGGCAACAAAAATCTTGGCAGAAAAACGACGCCTTGCTCGTGAACAAAGAGAAAAAGAAGAAGAAAGACTACAAAAAGAAATGGAGCAAAGGTTGGCACAAAATCATCCTTTCTATAATATAAATCTTGGCTGGGGCCCAAATTTTGAAAGTCAAAATTTATCCTCAAGTTAGATATATTATAAATTCTCAAAGAGTAACTGAGTTTTTCTTCAGTGTGAATTGGAAATTACTCGTTGCCTTCTAAACATGTGTAGGAAGGATTTCAAGCAGAGAGGACGCTGGTGTGTAGTTGATGGTATGGTCCTCTTTAGTCTCCCTGTGTCGTGTGTCATTAAGTAAGGTGAGCTATAAAGATACATACGGAGACCTGGACTCGTGTCAGGGACCCGTTCCTCAGCAGCAGCACCCGAGTGATCACACAAGATGCTTTCTCTTGGCATTCACTCATGTCAGCCCCTTTCTTTATTTCAAAAGGCTTTTGTAACTTTAGAATTTATAAACCTGGAAAGTGTACTGCCTCATGTTTTACTAGGGGCGCTTTCCAATGACCTTTGTGACACCTGAATCTCATCAGTCATTGTTGGAAGGATTTCCTGTGGGCAACAAATCTCATGTACAGTTGTGTGCGTTCTAACTCAATCTAAAGGTTTCTTGATCCTCAATCTTGAGGCCCATTTGATTTGGGGCCCTGTAATGTAAACCTCTGTCCACTGCCTGCAAAGAGTAACTACAGTCCTGACTTTGTTTTTAAGTATTAAGTGTTTTTGAAATATAATCGTGTGCTTTTCATATACTTTATATGAGTTTAGGAGAAAGGAGGAGAAGGGGATATTGTGAATAGCAAAAAACTATAACTTGAAGAATGTTATTCATTGCTTCATGTAAACAGGGCTAATTTTAGCATTTTAAAAGCCCTGAATCCTGGTCACTGCAGACTGGGCTTTCCTCTTCCGGGTACCACCAGATCCTCCTCTAAATTACCCCTCTCACACACCCATGTGAGATTGGGTGGGAGCATGTGTAAATGAGACCTTTTGGAGGGTCCCATTTGTCTAAAACAGTTAAGAAGGAGTGATAATATCTCGTGTGTGTGTGTGTGTGTGTGTGTGTGTGTGTTTTAAGATGCAAAGTAGCCTACTGCTTGATAGAAATGTCTTTCTACTCCAAAAGGCTAGTTTCCCCCATTTAAAAAGAGTGAAATTATGCGGATCCTGTGTAGCAACAACGGAAAATGTAGTGAGTCTGGTGTAAACATAAATTGTATTACTGTACGCAAGCAGTTTCACTATAAAAATGTACATACTACTGCAAGCTGCGGATGGTAGAGCCCAAGACCAATACTAAGTGTTACTTAAATATTCTTTGTCATTAGAAAGGTGAAAGATGTGGCAAAGACAGCAGTTGAAGGCCAAGAAGAAGAGTTCTCAAAATCTAAAGATGGGCAACCACAAAAGGAGATAAAAAAGAAGAAAGGATGTCAGGATCAAGACCAGGAAGTGCTACTACAGGTTTGCTGCTTTGCACTTTATCAGGGGATGAGAACCACATTATAAAATTCAGTTGAAACCTAAAGCAGAAATCTGTTTCTCCAAGAATGATGAGCAGTTGCAGCCTTCTCTGGCTGCAGTTTTCCATTACAGTCTAGCTATTACCCAGTACCACTGCAGGTTATTCTCAGCCACCGTTGGCAAAATCCTAGAATGTTCTCCAGGTGAAACAAAAGCAGAAAGCAGCAAATTATAGATAGCAGTCCTCTAATTTGTCTGCATAAACAATATTATGGCTTGGTTTCGGGAAATCCAAATTACTTGCACAGATTAAATATCCTATGTGAGTTTTCCTGATCCTGTATCCTGTGGTGACACTCACAACGGTACCCCACACACACCCCCCAACAGATAAGATAAAAACTAGGAATACCTCTACAAGTTTAAAGTCATCAGATTCACCAATAAGAATGTCTCACCCATGTAAATTCAAATCACCAGGTCAATAAATCCCCAAACTGAGCTCAGACTATATTCAACTTGAATTATTAACAAAGCCCAATTTATGTTCCAGTTTTAGTGTGTTATATTCATCAGAATTAGTTATATGTTACATAAATGACTATGTATTTGCATTCCTTGAGAAGATACCTTAAAGAATCCTCTCGGTGCTTTTGAGAAGTGTTAAGACTTGGCTCCTGTTGCTATGTTAATGGATAGCTACACACTTAAATGCTTTGAAACTGTAGGCGTCTGATAACCACTGTAATGACAACCCTGAGGTCCTGGAGGGGCCTAACATGCCTTCTACATCCTCAAGATAATAGTTAGCCTAGTTTTGTACCTTTTAGCTAATGCTTTAAAAACTGATAATCCATGAATGTTGTATGTATAGGTACTCTCAATCGAAAGAGTACATTCTTTGATGCTGGATAACATTTTACTGTTTAACTTTTTAAACTAATGCTCTCTGATGTCACTCAGATATACGGAGATTAAATGATATTTTTATACAAATTTCCTAGAAAGGCGATGCCAAAATAAAAGCTCAGGAGGAGGCTGACAAACGCAAGAAGGAGCACGAGAGGATTATGTTACAGAATATGCAAGAGAGATTAGAAAGAAAAAAGGTACTCTCTCTCTGTTTTCGGGGGTTTGATTCTTTGTTTAAAACAATGTTGGGCACAGGATTTCAAAACACGTTTTTGAAAATCACAAGTAAGCGATGCACTAGCCCCTCGTTTTCCCTCTATACTCTCTTCTTCCTTATCAGGTGATCTGACCTCTCCTTCCTAGAAGGGTCTCCTCTGATTGATCGTACCTCTCCCTCATGGACTACTGTAGGTGCCCATTACAGTGATGCCTCGATATAGCAACCTCTGGGAACAAAGCTCCTTGGCACAGAATTACTCGGGTCGTGGTAGGGGTTGGTGGAAGTTAGACTTGCTTCTAAACTGGGCTGGAAATTGCAGTAGCTGAGTGGGAAGAAGCAGAAGGTGCGGGCCTCTCTGAGAGGCGGGGGTACAGGCTGTTGGTAAGATAGGACCTCACTTTGTGTAACTCATGTCAGTCTTCTGAGAGCAAGGAAAGCCCCGGTCCAGGCTGAGGTGCTGCAAGGCCTCTCTGTCAGATCGGTCATCCTGAGGCCAGAGAGCTGCTGCTCTCCTCACCTTCAGGGAAGGAAGTATCCACTGGGGAGAGAACTCTTATCCCTCCTGTGTGTGCTCTTTCTAGTAACAAAGCCTCTGACAGTCTCACGTCATTGGGGTGCATTCTTTTCATTAACGTCGGCTTCAGTCAGGGTCTCTTCAGAATAAAACTGTGTTAAAAAGTTGTAATCGGTTGGCAATAATATGTGCTTAGTGTAAGTAATGAATTTCCAAGTCTGCAACATTAGGAGTGAGAAGTCATTTGGATTTCTGTGTTACAAGAACAAGTATAACTGTCACCTCTCAAGGCATTTTGTAGATGACTGTGAAACCAGGATCAGAATGAGGAGCCCAACTGCCGCCTTAGGGTCTTGTGTTGGTTAAGTCTATGGCTTTGGAGCAGTCGCTGATACTGTCCTCTTCTGGAAAATGGAAATTATCAACTTCTTCAGGACCACTGTTTTTTTTTAATCTGTTGTCATGTTTGAATTATTTTCCTTTAAATAGAGAATTGAGGAAATTATGAAGCGGACAAGAAAGACAGATTCGAATGCCTCAAAGGTAGTCTACGTGCTCCTACCCGCAGTGTATAACAATCCTCTTTGCTTCACATTCTTGCCAACTTTTTAATGTTTGCCAGTCTGGTGGTAATGAAATAAAGTATCACATTTGCGTTTCCCTGAGTATTAAAAAAGTTCAGCATGTTTTCATATCTTTAGCTAGCTTTCGTGTTTTTGCTTGTGTGAAATGCTTGTTTAGATCTTTTTCCCAAAACTTTTGGGCTGATCTGCCTTTTTCTTACTGATTTGTAGTGCTGTCAATGTTCTGGATACTACTACTTGCTTGCTTATATGTGTTGCAGGTATCTTCTCCCAGCTTATGGCTTGTCTTGTCTTAATGCTGTCTTCTGCTGGATAGAAGTTCTTAATTTTCACATCGTTGAATTTGTCAGTGTCTTTGATGACTAATGGAGTTGGGTGCCTTTTCATATGCTTTTTGGCCATTTGGAAGTTCACTTTGGTGAAGTGCTTTTTTAAGTCCTTTGCCCATGTGTCTGTCTGGTCACCTGCCTTTTTCTTATTGATCTGTAGGAGTTTCTCCCTGTTCTGGTTCTTAGCCCTTTGGATATATGTATTGCAGGTGTCAGCCCCCATTCTGTAGTTTGTCTCACACACTCATAAGGTCTTTTGAGGAACAGAAATTCATTTTAATGAACTCAAATTTAGCAATTTTATTCCTTTATGGTTAGTGCTTTTTGGGTCTATCTCACAGATAGACCCAAAGTATTTGGGTAAGTATTTGCTTACCCCAGAATCCATTCTTTTTTTTTTTTTTGGTGAGGAAGATTCACTCTGAGCTGACATGTGTTGCCAATCTTCCTCTTTTTTTGCTTGAGGAAGATTAGCCCTGACCAAACATCTGTGCCAGTCTTCCTCTACTTTATATGTGGGTCACCGCCACAGCATGGCTTGACAAGTGGTGTAGGTCTGCGCCCGAGATTTGAACACACAAACCCAGGCTGCTGAAGCAGAGTGTGCTGAAGTTAACCACAACGCCACAGGGCTGGCCCCAACCAGCATCCTGTCTTTTGATGGATAGCGTGATCCGAGGCCATTTTTCTTCAGATTCTATACTCTTTACCCTCTGTGCTACAAAACTGATATTTTGTCTGTTTACAGTTGCCCAGTTGGGGTCATTCATATCATTATGAAAATATAGAATAGAAATGTCATTTCTGAAAAGTGCTTGGAGTCACCATCTCAAAGATCATTTAGCCTTTAGCCCTCTGGGTAAATGAAGTTCTACCTCGTGCAACAGCTAAGAACATTTTTAGCTGTTCACCAATTGGCCCCATGTTGGCTTAGCTAGGACTCCAAGCGGGCAGAGACTGCATGTCAACGAAGCTGTTGTCCCTTGGCTCCCACTCAGGGAAGTCTTTCATTCTTGAATGTCTTTCCCTAGGTGAAAGACGCAACTAGGGCCACTTGTCCTGTCCCCTGCAGATTCTTGGGGTCAAAGAGGTTAGATTTTTCTACCTTTTAATTGAAATGATGAAAATTAGCCATCAATCCAGCCATGAAATCTGTCTTCTTTAAAACAACTACATCATGGGGCCGGCCCCGTGGCTTAGCGGTTAAGTGCGGGCACTCCGCTGCTGGCAGCCCGGGTTCAGATCCCAGGCGTGCACCGACGCACTGCTTCTCCGGCCATGCTGAGGCCGCGTCCCACATACAGCAACGAGAAGGCTGTACAACTATGACATACAACTATCTACTGGGGCTTTGGGGGAAAAAATTAATTAATTAATTAATAAAAAAAATAAAAAAATAAAACTACATCAGCATGATTGAGTATTAGATGTAATCATGACTTTCATTTTTCATCATAGGCTGCAGAAACATCTGGCAATGACATGTATGAGGAGGACGAGGCAGATGATGAGGACGAGTCAGAAAGTGACGAGGATTCCTCCGAAGACGTGAATCCGTCAGGTTTGGTTGCCTTTTGAGTTCTGTTAGTCACCATTCAGGAGCTACACTGCCTAGGTTCATCCAGTGGCTCCTCCGCTTCTGAGCTGTGTGGCTTTGGGCAAGCTACTCAACCTCTCTGTGCTCAGTTTTCCTGTCTGAGAAAGGGGAAGCTAATGTTGTCCTCGTCCTAGGGCAGGCATGAGATTTCAACGAGACAATCCATGTAATGCTAGAATACTGCCTGACACATAGTGAATCCTCAGTAACTATGAGCTGCTGTGCTGCTGCTGTTACTGTTTTTCAGGTTGTGCTGATACACTATAGATGGCAGCTCTTAGCCAAATGGGAGGCTTCCTAGCATTTCATAGCTCCGGGCCTCATAATGCGTCCGTGATTGACCACAGGTGGAAGGCCACTTTTCACTGTATTGAGAAAAATTAAAATCAGGTCAAGATATACGTGCCCTCTAAAATATATTGTAGATTCCCTTACGAGCAGGAACCACTGCGGTGATTGTCCACCCTTTATCCAACAAGCGGGTGTTGAACACGCAAGTCAGGCACTCTACTAGGTACTGGGGAGATAGAGATGAAGAGACACTGGGCCTCAGCCTCGAGGAACCATAGCCCGTGGGGAGACAGACATATGAGCAGACAGTGAGACTGCCACGAGCTGGTTGCAGTAAAAGAAGTTTGGCCAAAATGCAATGAGAACATAGCAGTAGGAACAGGGTAGGTGTAGGGTCTGCCTTAGGGCACTGAGGAAAGGTTAAGGTAGGAGGCAGCATTGGAGGTGAGACTAAAATAAAAGGCTTTATTGGCTGGGTGGGGAATCAGGAGGAGGGGTAAGAAGCATAGTGCAGTCCTGCTCTCTGGCCTGGAATTCTTTCCTGGCGAAGGAGAGGGGACAAGTTCCTTACAGGTGGCCCCTTTGTGCTTTGAAGGCAGAAAGAGTCATGCGGCAGGACTCTGGGGAGGCAGGATCACAGCCTTTGTTTGCTTTTCTTGTCTTTGTTGTTGAAACTCCAGTTTAAATCTTTTTCTTTTCTTTTCCCAGACTTTATAAATGGCATGGATTCATCCACAAAACTCAAAACACGTTTTAAAAATGTGAAGAAAACTCCCAAGCTGGTGTTTTTAGACGCCACTTCTGGCCAAGTCCATCAAGAGACAAAAACATGTTTTAACGGCGACATGAAAACCTTTGGACAAAAAAATGTGCAAGACCCTTTGACTCAGGAAAAGGGTACCAGGTGAGTCACTTGGCGAGCTTATCCAAATAAGCTTGGTGGGACTACGATTGACATTCTTAGAATGATGCACAAGATCATTGACTGAGCTCTTAGTTTGTACCAAACACTATGTCGAGAACTTGGCTTACAGAAACAAACTAATCCCCACAGCAGCCTCGCTGGGTAAGGATTAGCATCCCCATTTTTATAGACAAGGAAACTGAGGCATGGAGGGGTTATGGGCCTTATTTATCCAACGTCCCACTGTTAAAGGGCAGAGAACAGATTCAAATCCAGACACATGTGACTCCAAACTGTGCTTTTTTTCACACTGGTTAATGTTGTCTCATAAACCAGGAAAGGAGACATTGAGTGACTGCTCAATGGGGGCGTTGAGTATACCAGGCATTTTACATTACCTATTTTCATTCTTATTGTAACTCTGAGTTTGATATTAATGTCCTCATTTTACATATGGGGAAACTGAGGGTCAGAGGTTAGGTCGGAAGAGCAGGAACAGATTCTTGGAAAGGAAGGCTCCGCGGGCGATGGCCTGAAAAGACATTAACCTACAAGGCCCATGGAAACAAAAATCCACCAAGAGGCACAGTGATGTGGAAAGAGCACTGGAGCTAGAAAGCCCACATTAGTCCTCACCACCTTACTGGCCTGTTCTGGATCAGCTTCAAGTAGGGACAGGGTTCCCAGAGCCCTGCATGCTTAACTGCTCCTAGCCCTCCTTGGCGTTTCCGTGGAACCCTAGGACACAATTTGGAAACCAGTGTGTTCTCTGATCTCCAGGGTCCCTTCCAGCCTTCCCATTCCATGATTCTGCAAGTTCAATTACTCCAAGGAACTTCTTAGAAATTAATTAAAGGGTAAAACTTCTTTCAGGACAAAACCTTGGTTTTGGAATAATCAGGATTCTAACCAAAACATCTCTTTCCAGACTGTCCACCAAAAGAATGACCAGCCGAGCAACAAAAACCGGAAAGGCGAAGGAAACCAGCAACACTGTGGGACCTTCCAGGAGTTTACATTTGCCAGCACAGGAATGGGTCGGTGAGAAGATTGACATCGTAAGCATGGCAGAGCCTCTTATGTCCAGTATCCCTCCTGATAGTGAAAAACATCATCTGAAAGGTTCCATGACATTCCACCAAAGTCCCCAGACACCTTTAGACAGCAAGAAAAGAAACAAATCTGTTTCTGCTCCATCGGGTAAGGCCTCGTCCCATCTTCACTTTGCTTGAAAGGCAGTTGACCTTGAACCCTCCTCTGCTTCCGGCTGTTGTTCCAGGGCCGTCTTGGCGCCATGTAACTTTGGAGGCGAGGGAGAAGACAGTGGTGGGTCTAAAGGCTAGGTTGATTTTGAAGAGTCTTCCATTAAGTTAGTTTTGAGAGAGTAAATGACTTGATTCTAATTTTTATGTCCTGCATTTCCTGCCAGATACACAAAGCAGGTTCTTTTCAAACCCCTGATCCCTCTCAGATTCCTCTGAGGGATCCACCTCCTGATCCACTGGCTGCTTTACAGCATGCAGATCATCATTTAGGGCAGATGGTTAGTGAGGTCTTGGGAATTAGTCTCTCAACCTGTGTTTCCAAAACCAAAAGCCCTTTGTTATTCTTTCCTTGAGAAGCTCTCTTTGAAATGGAGAGGCAGCTGGGGTCCATTTGGTGGTTGGGGACGTGAGGAATATTTATAAGAGCACCAATGTGTTATCAACTCCAGGGGGGCTGGCGAGGGTCCCAGGCCCACCCTGAAGGGAGGCCAGGGCCCAGTTGCTGTGAGACCAGCATCTTCTCTACTAATCTTCTTTCTTTCCTTTTTCCCTCTGGTCAGATAAGTAGACCTCATGCTGCCTGGGAGAGAATTCATCCTCCACCACTCTGGATTTCAACTTCCAGGCCCATCTCCCCAAATTTCTCCACCTCGGATTTGAACATGGCAAAGAAAATGACCATCAAAAAAAGGGAAAACACCAAAAAGGCACCTTAACGTATCTCAGAAGATGCTCATACCATCTTGACTCTTGCTGACAAGCAAGGGTTCTGAGTAAAGAGGCCTTTTTGTCTTCCTATAAAAATTGCCATTGTCTCTCATTCTTACGTTGTCCTGCCCACACGTGTGCAAGTGTGCATCCAGGGCGTCTTTACAAGATGGTAACTCTGGAGTTTCTAAAAGAATCGCTACCAAAGAAATCATTTTCTTTCAGTACATATTTGAAATCTTAAACTAATGTTTATTCTATTTAACAGTTACATTAATTTAGCAATTAAAAACTCACCTTTGATCTTGTAGAGAGCATAATGGGTTATGTGAGGGACTCCAGATTGCTCACGAGAGCCTTGTTGGATTGTCTGTAATATACAAATACAGACGGTTGCAAAATAGAGGAAATCACATTTTACCATTATCTGTGTATGCTTTTAACTCTGCCATCGTCTGCCAGCCGAGTGCACAGGCACTGATGCCCCAAATGCGGGTAGTTCTAGAAACCGTGATCTTGGAACAGTTAGCTTCTTTCATGCTCTTGTCAGTGTTTCCTTTCGAAGTACGTATTGGGTCTATCTACAAAAACGTTATTTTTATTGTGTGCATAAAGCAGTATTTGGCTGTTGTCTGGTGGGGTGAGTTTAATTCCTTGAAATGTTTACTGTGTATCTTTTTCTGCTTGTGCTCTCTAGTCCTTCCCTTCAGTGTACACTCAGGCTTGGGATATGGAACCAGAATTTGCTCACCTTTCTCTAGCCACTGGCTGCAAGTGAGTACAGGAGCGGTGTTATTCTACAGTCCCCATGGTAGATGGGCACACAGATGTACACATGCGCACGTGCACACGGGATAGGTTTCCTGAACTCCATCGAATCCTGCTTAAACCGTTGACTAAAACTTGAATGCAAATTAGTCGTCCTAATGGTAATGAGTGTTCTGGTGAATCACAGATAGTTTGAAGCAGGCCCATGTTCCTTTCTAGCCACCAGTCTTGCATTAGTAAAAGGAAGTAATTCTTTCTGATTTCTCTAATTCTTTGCTATTCAGAGTACTGTACCTTTGTTATAGATTAGAGCTTGGTGCCTTAGATTTAAAAACTATTTTTATACACTAGCTCTTTTATATAGAAGGCAGAGACAATCATCCTAACAAATGAGTTTCTGATATTTTTCTGCACAAATGTCACATGTTGAAACACTCTGTTACACTTCCATATAAATGTGTGCTCTGTGAAATAAACATTGCAGATAAAGCAAGTTTTCTTTTCATTATAATAACAAAAAATATACTGGTGGTGGTATAAAAGGTGACACCAATTGTTAACCAAGCTATGACCACAGGCACTCGGCTAGTTCAATAAATAGTAATCAAATCCTCTGATGCCCCTCTTCAGCTAGTTGGTGACTTGGCAGAGTTCTGCGTCTGGGACATAAAGATGTCAATTTCCAACTCTAGTCTTCTTCCTGCACCTATTTCAGTGCTCGTTACTCTTCCCCGTGACAGCTCTGACTTATATTTGAGGCCAGTGATTAAATGTCTGTCTTTATACTGTGGTAAAATTCACAGGACAAAAGTCACCGTTCAGTGGCGTTTAGTACATTCACAATGCTGTGCAACCCTCACCACCATCTAGTTCCAGAACATTTTCATCACCCTAAAAAGAAACCCATTCCCCTGTAAGTAGTCACTCCCCATTCGCGCCGCCCGCCCCACCCCCGCAGCCCCTTGAAACCTCGCGTGGGGTGCTTGCCATGGATGAGGAAAACACGTTTGCTGTTTAAAGTCTGAGTGTGTGCTCAGGCCGAAGTTGTGCTCTGTTACATACACATCTCTTCATGGCATCACTTACTGTGCTTGGCAAAATAAATGTTCTGATCTGCCCATAAATGGTTCATTTTCAGTCTTGAAATATATCCTACTCCATTAGGTTTTGTCTTTGGTAAGGTGAAGTCCTTGTTTATCCCCAGTCTTGGGGTCTGGTGCTTATGAGAACAGTGGCAGCCATTCCCCACTTTGCGTTCCGGACTGTTGGTCCAGCCGTTGGAGCTGTTGAACCGGATCTTACCTGGCGTGCACACAACCTGAAACACGGTCAAAGCACCCTGTTTACAGCTCCAAAGTGATGGACAGTGGCCTAGCCTCCCCCTCTTGCCCTGGACTGAGTGCCGTTGAACCTGTTAGAGGACACGTTGGTCTCCTCAAGTTTCCCTTCCTCTCTGGATAGCCTCTTGGTGTCTTCTCCCCTGAGAAACTGGTCCCTGGCCTCTATCAGTGCATTCTGCATATCAGCACCTGCCCTACACCTGTGTCATCTTGCACACGGCGTGTGGAATGAGGCCTTTTGACAGCCGCAATCCCTGGCAACCACAAATGTGCAGTATGGGATGCTGTAAAGGATGCTAGCCAGGTATCTGAGTGCCGGAATCCTAGCCCAGGTGGCTGTGAGCTTGCCGTGTGACTTTGCACATTACGGCCCCTCCGAACCCTCTTATCTGACAAATGAGGGGCTGTGCTACAATCTGAGTCCCTTCAGTTCTGAGGCATCATTGGCAAGAGGCAGAGGATGGGGAGGCGAGGCATAAACCAGGAGCAGCAGCTGCTGCCAAGATGCAAAGCCTGGAGGCGGACTTCCCATCACATTTTATCAGGGGTCAATTCCCTGTGCCACCTTCCGTGCCCTCTGCACCCTGCAGGCCCCAGAAAGGCCGCCTTGCCTTTGGTCTCCCCACCAATTCAGCTCCAGTGTTTTCCAGATGGATTTGTCTCATAATTTCCCCAACTCTTTTGTAATAACTGTAGTTATGTTACACGTGTTTTATAGGCTGCTTTAAACCCTCACACAACCCTGTGAGGTGTGGGTATTCATTTTTATCTGGGAGGACACAGATTTGTGGAGATTGGCATTCATTCAGGGTCACACAGCAGAAAGAGGCAGAGCCGATACTCGAATTCCGGTCTCTGGTTCTAAAGCCAGCGCTCCATACTGCTTTGGGAGTGGGAACGGTGTCTTGTGGCATGCCGGGTAATGTACTGTCTTTGCTGCTGGAGATAGAAATAATTGCTAACGTTTATTGAGCACTTGTATTGGGTGTCAGTGGCCCCGCTCAGCACTTGTAGTATCATTTAATCTGCACGTGCTTCTGCAAGGTAGGAACTCTGTCTCATTTTACAGGTGAGGAAACAAGCTCAGAGAGGTTAGGTCACTTGCCCAAGTTCTCATGAGTAAAAGTGGCAAAGCAGCCAGCATTTGGACCCAGGCAGTCTAACTCCAGAACCAACCCTGGTAAGCCCAAGTAGGTATGTTCTTGATAATCTGATCCCCTTAGTTATGAGGGAGAAAAGGGTTCTCTGCTGAAAATTTGGTAACTAGAAATTTCTCCTCCTTCCTCCGGAGTCTTATGGTTGTCACTCTTAAAATTAAGTACCGAGCACCGTGCGTGATAATTTCCTCATCACGATGCCTCAGACACTGTCCCTGCCTAAGGGGCTCACCGTTTCTATGGCAATGCAGTGTCCTAAGTGATAGGCTAGTGGTGTGCCCAGGATGGCAGTTTGTCACTTCTTAGCTGTGTGACCTTAAGCAAACCTCTTAACCTCTCTGAACTTAAGTTTTCTCATCTGGAAAATGGGGACAATAGTGCCAGTGTTGGCTGTGAGGATTAGATACAATGTCTAAGGTGCTTCTCAAGATGCTTAAGTATTAAGGGCAGGCCTCGTGTGGCAAGCAATTGCTAGAGGCTGACCCCCGATGGGCCTGTTTCCTGGGTGAGGAAGGTGGCGGAGGCAATCTGTGGGGACTATGGAGGAAGTGGTGGAGTGGTGACGGGGCATTTTAGGCAGAGTCGAGGGCCTGGCAGGAGTTCACACAGTGCTGCTGGCTGCGGTCTGTAGGTGTATGGCCTTTTCTCAGCAGAGCTCTTCGGCCCTTGTGTGGGCTGGGTTTTTGCAGGCCAAGTGGGATAGGAAGGCAAAAGGGTCACAGGATTGAGGGGATAAGAACAGTTGAAGTGAGAGAGCATAGAATCCAGGGCAGACAGGGAAGTCAGGGCGCGAAGGGGCTGAGAGAAGAAATTGGAGCAGTCAGCGGACTGGAGGGTGAAGAGCTAGCGCAGTGAGAATAAGTGGGAGGACCGGGAAGGGCAGGAGCGCGTGGGGAGAGGAGAGGTGAGTCTGGCTGCTGCAAAGGTCCAGGGTTTGCGGAAGTGGAGCAGAGGTGGAGGGCACTGGAGATGTGGCGTGGTCTCTCCCTGCAGGGGAGTCCTGAGAGACGTGCCCAAGTCCCACGGCTGTAACCCAGCCTGCTCCCTCGGGAAGCGGAGGGGTGCCAGCTCAATTCCCCACCCCACCCGCTCCCTCAGATAACTGCTAATTTCTCTAGGGAAACCACACTCACTCACACACACACCCCCCCCACACACACCCATCCACTCACCCACCCACACACGGTCGATCCTCATTCATAAAAATGCTCCTGCCTTCTTGCTGACAGGTTTTGCGTCCCTTCTTTAGAAGGGAAATGGTAAATGCTAGCACCAAAGGGGTTCTGCCCTTTTCTTTTATTACCCGGGGCATGAGGCTCATCAAAGACTAACGGCCTCTTCTCCCGACCCTGCCTTCAGCTGACATGTCATTTGACGAGGTGCCCTTACAGCCTGCATCAGACACCCATTTCACTGGACCTCTAGTGCCGTCTAGAAATGACCACGTGGGTGTGGGCGGGTTGGATGGCCTGAGAGCATGAGCCTCAGAGGTGTGTGGCGATGATCTAGAAGGTGCAACCTCTACCTCTGCCCACACCATCCCCGTGTCCCCCACTCCTAACAGAGTACATGGGCCCAAATGAGGGGCCTCCCTAATAAGCACCATCCACAAGGGGGAGCAGGGTTCTGAAGGCCCGACGGTGGAGGGAGCAGCAGTTGAGGACACAGCACTGTTCAACGTGGATCCGGGGCTCCCGAGGGCACAGGGAAAGGGCAGCCAACAAAATAGGGACCATGATTACTTCTTGATGACACGCTTCAGCTGCGATTCCCTTCCCACCTCCCCACCCCACCCTGGTCAAAGAAAATCAGTTTGCTCTTTTTAAGGAATGTGAACATCTGGGAAATGCTATTTTGGGTCATAGTGGGTTTTTGTCGTTTTTAACTGGATCCAAGTGCTGTTATAGGTTTGTTTTCTCTTGTTTATAAGTCCTGTGTTCCCTGCAATTGCATGAACTGAGTATGTCCTTGAAGGAAGGAAAAAAAGTCATCCAGGTTTCTGGATCAGTAGTACCCCCTTATAGCAATTCCTCCTTGGCAAAATGAAAAGACAGGAGGCAAGTTATTGATATGCTGCTTTATTTCTGTATGGATACACTGAAACGTTAGATGATGA